AAAAATACACCATAGATACATATACACATTCACTCATATACATATTCACATGCACACATTCGTACATATATGCACAAACATACACATATATACACATGCACACACAAAAATACATATATACACACATATACACACACACACATATACGCAGAAATATGCATATAGACAAGCACACACATATACACAATATGCATGTAAACACGCAAATACACAAATATATACACATATATATACACCCCCACACATACATATACATATATATACACACAAATGCACATATATACACACACACAAAACGCATATACACAGACTGGGCCACAGCAACGCGTGGTAGGGGACAGCTTGTGTGTGTGTGTGTGTGTGTGTGTGTGTTACTTACATACTTACTTACTTAGGCGATCCCTCATTGGACGAGTAAGATGGTCTTCCATGATGGGTTTCCTTGTGGTGGCTGTGGAGCCCTATTCTTGACCTGCATCTTCTCCCACAGTGAGGCATTGGTTTCCAGGTGGGAGGCGGTCTCGGTGGTTGGCTTGACGCGCCTTCCTCTTGGCACGTTTCTCTCTTTCACCCTCCACTCGTGCCTCCTTGAATTCTGCAGCACTGCTGGTCACAGCTGACCTCCAGCTGGAGCGCTCAAGGGCCAGGGCTTCCCAGTTCTCAGTGTCTATGCTAGAGTTTTTAAGGTTGGCTTTGAGGCCATCTTTAAATCTCTTTTCCTGTCCACCAACAGTTCCGTTTTCCGTTCTTAAGTTCAGAGTAGAGCAACTGCTTTGGGAGACGGTGGTCAGGCATCCGGACACCGTGACCGGCCCAGCGGAGTTGATGTGAAAATATATATTAGTGATTGGTTGGGGGGGGGGTACTGTTTGCTTGCCGTTGAAAATTACCTAGGGCCACCTCTGTTCATGGCATATATCCATCTACCCTCAATGCACCTGGTTCCAATGGGTAAATTTCATGGCTCTAGCTAAAAAGCAACATAATCCTATTAATCTTCCCAGTCGGGCCTTTATTCCCAGAGCTGGTAGAAGAAACCAAGCTTGAGTGGGAACCGTATGCTCATTGCTTTCTGTCCTGCTACACAATGTCTTAATTTATCCTTTATTTGTGTATGTGTGTGTGTGTGTGTGAGAGAGAGAGAGAGAGAGAGAGAGAGAGAGAGAAAGGAATTTGTTTAGGTGATTAGAAATTTTAGAACTGGGGAGAAAACTGATCAGGTTAAAAACCCTGGAGAAAAAATAAGAACCTGTGGGAAAGGCATGAATAACATACTCTTCAACCATCCCATTTTGGCAGGGACTGTTCCAGTTTTTTTCAGTTGCTTGTGCAATGTCCATGTTTTCTTTTTCTTCTCACTTTCCCCCTTTCCCCTTATCTTATTTCAGTTGCAGCAAACAGAGTTCAAAGTACAAAGTACACTCAATAGGTGTGGGGGACAAAAAGACGGAGTCTCGTCCTTCCCAGGAAGCTCGGGGAAAAGCAAACTCCTGCAACCTTCCTTATTTATTTATTTACTGTGTTTACTGTATTTACTGGGAGCCCTCGGAGGCACAGTGGGTAAACCACCAAGCTGTTGAGCTTGTTGACCGAAAGGTCACAGGCTCGAACCCAGGGAGCGACGTGAGCTTCTGTTGTCAGCCCCAGCTTCTGCCAACCTAGCAGTTCAAAAACATGCAAATGTGAGTAGATCAATAGGTACCGCTCCGGCGGAAAGGTAACAGCGCTCCATGCAGTCATGCTGGCCACATGACCTTGGAGGTGACTATGGATGATGCCAGCTCTTCGGCTTAGAAATGGAGATGAGCACCAACCCCCCAGAGCCGGACACGACTGGACTTCATGTCAGGGGAAAACCTTTACCTTTACCTTACTGTATTTATTTATTTATTTATTTAGTGTATTTATATACCACCTTTCTCATCCCTGGGGGAGCCCCCAGTGGTGCAGTGGGTTAAACCCCTGTGCTAGCAGGACTGAAGACCAACAGTTCACAGGTTCGAATCCGGGGAGAGGCGGATGAGCTCCCTCTATCAGCTCCAGCTCCTCATGCAGGGACGAGAAGCCTCCCACAAGAATGATAAAACATCAAAACATCCAGCCGTCCCTTGGGCAACGTCCTTGCAGACGGCCAATTCTCTCACACCAGAAGCGACTTGCAGTATCTCAAGTTGCTCCTGACATGACAAAAAAAAATCCCTGGGGGGACTCAAGGGGGTTTACAACATACTAACGGCAAAAATTCAATGCCAGCACACGGTACACAAAGGAATCATAATTACTAATTACGTACTACATATAACTATGAACTTAAAATCATTAAAACCATTAAACATAAGACATACATAAAATTAAAACATTATGACAAGCATAAAATCATCCTAGTATAAACATTAAAATTCCATGGTTCAGAAATCATATACTATTGCCATTCCAAATTGTTATTGCACATGTTCCTTAATTATTGTTTATACTGCATTATTTATTAGCCAAAGGCTAGACCCCACAACCATGTCTTTGTTTGCTTTCTAAAGGCCAGGAGAGAGGGCACTGATCTAATCTCGCTAGGGAGGGAGTTCCAGAGCCGAGGGGCCACCACTGAGAAGGCCCTGTCTCTCGTCCCCGTCAACTGCATTTGTGACGGAGGCGGGACTGAGAGCAAGACTTCCCCAGATGATCTGAACCTCCATGATGGTTCATAGAGGGAGATACGTTCGGACAGGTAAGCTAGGCCGGAACCGTTGAGAGCTTTATAGGCTAAAGCCAGGACTTTAAATTGTTCTCAGTAGCAGACTGGCAGCCAGTAGAGCTGGCATAACAGGGGGGTTGTATGCTCCCTGTACCCCATTCTAGTGAGTAATCTGGCTGCTGCCTGTTGGACCAATTGAAGCTTCCGAACAGTTTTCAAAGGCAACCCCCTTCCTTAGCTTGCGTGCTCTTCCGCATTAATAATATTTGCCATCTTGGCCACACTCTGATGTTGGTTAGTGATTCATGTTCTGGTGTTCTTATTGAAATGGTGACAGGCATGGAACAAATGATAGGGAATTGTGGGAATTTCACATAACACTTTTCTTTTTTAGAAGAAACAAGTTTGTGTTGACCCACTGCAAGTCTCAAATATCTAGAACTCTCCTGCCCTCTAGTGGGGAGATTGAGATTGTATTGTCGAAGGCTTTCATGGCTGGAATCACTAGGTTCTTGTGGGTTTTTTCGGGCTATATGGCCATGTTCTAGAGGCATTTCTCCTGACGTTTCGCCTGCATCTATGGCAAGCATCCTCAGAGGTAGTGAGATTGAGATTGTTGCTACTCTTTTTCTTTCACTTCCCTCAAAGTGGTCCTATTCCTCAGGAATTGGGCGACTGATATGATCCTGTCATCTATGCGGATTGGATGAAAAGACATGAGAGAAGCCTCCCACAAGGATGGTAAAACATCAAACATACAGGCAATTCTTGGGCAACGTCCTTGCAGATGGCCAATTCTCTCACACCAGAAGTGACTTGCAGTTTCTGAAGTCACTCCTGATATGAAAAAACCCCAACAAAAAACCAGTATCATTTAAACCAAGGATGAGAAAATTGTGCCACATGGGGCCCATGGACACTCTGTATCTAGCTCTGTATCTATCTAGCTTCTTTTGGTGTTATTTTTGGTGGCAAAATAGAATCATAGAGTTGGAAGAGACCTCATGGGCCATCCAGTCCAACTCCTTGCCAAGAAGCTGGAAAATTGCATTCAAAGCACCCCTGACAGATGGCCATCCAGCCTCTGTTTAAAAGCTTCCAAAGAAGGAGCCACTATCATACTCTGGGGCAGAGAGTTCCACTGCTGAACGGCTCTCACAATCAGGAAGTTCTTCCTAATGTTCAGATGGAATCTCCTTTCTTGTAGTTTGAAGCCATTGTTCCACGTCCTAGTCTCCAGGGCAGCGGAAAAAATGTTCGCTCCCTCCTCCCTATGACTTCCTCTCACATATTTATACATGGCTGTCATGTCTCCTCTCAGCTTTCTCTTCTTCAGGCTAAACATGCCCAGCTCTTTAAGCCGCTCCTCATAGGTCTTGTTCTCCAGATCCTTGATCGTTTTAGTCGCCCTCCTCTTGACACATTCAAGCTTGTCAATATTTCTCTAGAAAGTATCTAAATCTAGAAAGCTCTTGCGAACACTTAGCTCAGCTTTAGAGGGCAGAAATCTTCTGTAGTGGAAACGTCCTAGGTTCCATGGTAGGAAAAAACTTGGTCCCACTATAATAATAATAATAATAATAATAATAATAATAATAATAATAATAATAATAATAATTTTATTTATACCCCGCCACCATCTCCCCAAGGGACTTGAAGCGGCTTACATGAGGCCAAGCCCGACAACACATCAATAAACAAACAAAAAAATAAACAAAAAACAATACAATTAATATTAGTCACATATAAACAATAACACAGAAAGATTTACAAACCTATGGCCGGGCCAAATGTAATAGTTTAAAATTAAAAAAATAAACGCTGGGCATGAACAAAGGTAGGATATATCTGGTAGGAGGGTTTTAAAAGAAGTGAAGGGAGTGCAATCCAATGAATAGTTAAAGTGCTTCTGAGGACATTTTGCTGGGAATTATTCCTTATTCTGGGATGGCACACTAGAACAGCCATGTTTTCAGGCTCCTCCTAAAGACTGCCAATGTGGGGCTTGCCTGATATCCTTGGGAAGTGAGTACCAGAGCCGGGGGGCCACCACCGAGTAGGCCCTCTCCCTCGCCCCCACCCATTGCGCCTGCGAGGGGGGCGGAAGCAAGATCAGGGCCTCTCCAGATGATCGAAGAGATCATGTGGGTTCATACACAGAAATACAGTCCTTAAGTTCATCTACTCCTTCTCAAATTGGATTCTGGGACAAATTTAAGACATTTATAAGCTACACTCCAAGAAGAAGGTTGCAGGCAAATAGGTAATAATAACACAAAATATAAGAAATAACAATGTTTATTTTTTAAAAAAAAAAAATCTAACAAAACTGTTCATAAGTTGTAACAAAATACTTGGGCAAATGAACCAGACCCAAGTGAATACTGTACATGTTTTTAAAAACAGTTCTTCTCCAAAGAAAGCAAAGTTCCTTCAGTTCTTCCCTATGGTTCCTTCAGAGCTGTGAACCACAACTGTAAACTGGTTCTGTCAGCCTGCGCAATACAAAGTAGGGTTTGAGATGAATCGAGTCACTACATAGGTAATAAGAACCAATGCTGTCCCCAAGACTGTCAAGATCAAGATAGAATCTATCACGGGCTCGGAAGGAGTGCTATATTCCTGAGATCTGCCAAGTTCACCACAGCTATAGCTCTTTTGAGGCCACCTTGGAAGCAGCAAATGCAAAATTCCCTCCCAAATCCTAAAGAAACAGAAGATGCATTGAGCAGGTATGTGCAGCCTCACGTCTTGATTATACTATTTATCCAAATCTCAATTCCATGTATACCATAATTGTGAGACTTGTTTTTTTTTTCTTCCCACAATTAAATGTGTTGTTTTGATGGCAGTTCCCCTCACATGCATTTTTCTGTCCGTGTACACTTTTCTCCACTGATTACAGTGTGTTTCTGCAATTGTACCCATTTTACCAGTTCACATTTTAAAACGTGCACACTCTTTCATGTGCACTTAATTTCTCCAAAACACTCTGTCAGCTTTGCAAATGTATGATTTGCCAAGGCATGGTACATTCCTTCTTCTCACTCATCTCAGGAGGTGCAAAAGGACAACCTTTGTTAAGAATGTCAGCTCTGAGGAACATTTCCCCATCCCAAGTTTGTAAGGCAATGACATGATCCTTCATCAGTAGATCAATCTCATCTGCAAGGACAAGCACCTTAGTACACATGAAATACGATGCCATTGGTCTCAAGAAGTTGAAGTGTGACTTTCTTCTCAAGTCAGTTGCTGCATTTCTTCTGCAGTCGGCATGAAATGTTTCTCGTAGCCAGAGTTCACCACAGGAGCACGGGATGGAGGTGGTGCTGGTGGAGGGGCTAGTTCCTTTATTTTTATAATATCTATACCCTCGGGAGACTGGTCCAGCGTATCCTGCAAGAAATTGAAGTCATAAGCAACAGTAAACTAGGCTCCTGTCTCTATGCATTTAAAAGCCTGACTTGACCAACGGAAATGTAAAAACAAGCGACATTGCCCGCTCATTGTTATTTTATTGCGTATGATTTTGTTTTATCATTTTTTGTACTTATATGTTGTATGCATTGTTATTGTGTTTTGGTTTTATTTTATTGTAATATGCTGTTGGGCTTGGCCTCATGTAAGCCGCCCCGAGTCCCCATTGGGGAGATGGTGGCGGGGTATTTAATAATAATAATAATAATAATAATAATAATCTTTATTTATACCCTGCCACCATCTCCCCCAACGGGGACTCGGGGCGGCTTACATGAGGCCAAGCCCGAACAACAAAATACAATAAAATAAGATACAAATTACAATAAAATAAACAACATAGCATTAAAATATAAAACATATAAGCATATAAACAATATACACAAAACATAAAGAGAAGAAAAAAAAACTGTAAACCAAACATAATGACAGTGAGCAGGCCGCATGTACATAAAATGATTTAAAAACTCAGGGTGAGATAAAGGAGCAGAATTATTTGTAAGGGAGAAATCGTAGAGAGACAGAGAAATAATCAGACCTTCATATGGGGGGGGTACTCCTAGGACAAGAATGTTGAGGGAGCAATAGCATAAGATTATGTTATTATTATTTATTTACTTACTTTACTTTACTTATATACCGCTGTTCTCAGCCCGAAGGCAACTCACAGCGGTTCACAACCAATAAAAACAGCAATAATTCAATGCAGAATATAACAACATTTAACAACTTAACACATTACCCACCAATAAACACTTACTACAATAACCGATCACAATCGGCTCATTATCAAAAACATAATCCAGATTCGTCATCCATTGTTCCATTCCTATGTTCATTACCAATCATTGCACTAGTTATTCGAACGCCTGCTTGAACAGCCAGGTCTTCACTTTTTTGCGGAATACCATTAGAGATGGTGCTAGCCTAATGTCCGTGGGAAGGGCGTTCCACAGCCGAGGAGCCACCACCGAGAAGGCCCTATCTCTCGTCCCCGCCAACCGTGCTTGAGAAGCAGGCGGGATAGAGAACAGGGCCTCCCCGGAAGATCTCAAAGTTCTGGTGGGTTCATAGGCAGAGATGCGGTTAGATAGGTAGCTTGGGCCGGAACCGTTTAAGGCTTTATAGGCCAACGCCAGCACCTTGAATTGAGCCCGGTAGCAGATCGGCAGCCAGTGGAGCTGGCGCAACAGGGGGGTCGTATGCTCCCTGCGTTCCGCTCCTGTTAGAATCATGGCTGCCGCACGTTGGACTAATTGAAGCTTCCGCGCCGTCTTCAAGGGCAACCCCACATAGAGAGCGTTGCAGTAGTCTATACGGGATGTAACCAGAGCGTGGACTACCGTGGCCAAGTCAGACTTCCCAAGGTATGGGTGCAGCTGGCGCACAAGTTTTAACTGTGCAAATGCTCCCCTGGTCACCGCCGAAACCTGGGGTTCCAGGCTCAGCGATGAGTCCAGGGTCACATTATATTATTATTATTATTATTATTATTATTATTATTATTATATTACTGTATTATTTGCTGGCTGGGCAGAGTTCCATTTCAATTTTGGCCCATCCGTATACTCCCATCAGCTCTAGTCTTCAACATCAATGACGAAGGATCAAAGAAACACTACTCCAATATAAACAGGGAGCCACTGGTTTTCCAGTAAGGCTATTTTGTGTGTGGAAGGGATGAAACAGGCAAGGGTGGTTCAATCAGTAGCTTCTTACCATGACACGTGTAATATTCTGTTCATCCATCTTTGAGACGACCAGGCTGTGCTCTGGATCTGGAATCCTCTCCCAGCACCATGGGGGCAAGACCTTATGGCAGAAATTAAGGACCCTGCAGAGGAGAAATGGCAGAGAGGAGTTGCTGTACATGAACTTTTTAAAAGGAGAGTACTTGAGCCTCCTGCAACCTTAGAATTGCTAGGGATGAGCTCTCCAACTCAATCCTCTCACCTTTTTTCTTTCTTTTTTACTTACCATCTGTACTTGGCATACACCACTGCCGCAGCCACGAAAAACAAAATTCCTATCACCACAGTGATGACAACAATGGTCTGCCAATGGGAAATTGCTGGAAATATGGAAGGTAATACATACTATGGTTAATGTTTACATTCTTTGACTGTTTTAGAGTTTTACTTCCTCCCTTGTAAATGCATAGTTATCCTTCACTCCACTGGGACAAAGTACAGGTTGAGCCTGCCTTATCCGAAATACATTGGGATCAAAGGTTTTTCAGAATTTTGACTTATTTGTTTTTGGAATACTTGTATTTGCATATATATAGTGAATAAGGAATGGGGCAAAAGGGAGCTAGTTACACACCCAGCCCCAGTTGAGGTTGTACTGTCACTCCAACACAGTCAGAAATTTGATGTGGGATAAGAAAGGAGGGAGGATTCTGAGTTTGTTTATTTATTTATAGCATTTATATTCCACCCTTCTCACCCAAAGGGGACCCAGGGCGGATCACAGAATACATACATGGCAAACATTCAGTGTTGTTAAACCAGTGGTTCTCAACCTTCCTAATGCCAAGACCCCTTAATACGCTTCCTCATGTTATGGTGACCCCCAACCATAAAATTAGTTTCATTGCTACTTCATAACTGTCATTTTGCTGCTGTTATGAATAGTAATGTAAATATCTGATATGCAGGATGTATTTTCATACACTGGACCAAATTTGGCATAAATACCCAATACAGCCAAATTTGAATACTGGTGGGATTGGGGGAGGGTTTTGATTTTGTCCTGTGGGAGTTGTAGTTGCTGGGATTTATAGTTCATCTACAATCAAAAAGCATTCTGAACTCCACCAACAATGTAATTGAATAAAACTTGGCACACAGAACTTCCATGGCCAACAGAAAATACTGGAAGGGTTGGTGGGCATTGACCTTGAGTTTTGGGAGTTGTAGTTCACCTACATCAAAACTCAAACAATGATGGATCTGGACCAAACTTGGCATGGATTCTCAATATGCCCAAATGTAAACACTGGTGGAGTTTGGGGAAAATAGACCTCGGCACTTGGGAGTTGTAGCTGGGATTTATGGTTCACCTACAATCAAAGAGCATTCTGAACCCTACCAACGATTGACTTGGGCCAAACTTTCCACACAGAACCCCCATGACCAACAGAAAATGCTGTGTTTTCTGGTGGTCTTTGGTGACCCCTCTGACACCCCCTCGTGACCCCTCCAGGGGTCCCGACCCCCAGGTTGAGAAACACTGTGTTAAACAGACAGGACAGACAACAGATAGAGGTACACGTTGGCATTTTCCCAACTTTGGTGTCCTGGAGGTTGTGCTCGATTCCAGCCACAGCGGGGTGTTGTCGCTCCATCTCCTATGATGAAGAGCCCTTGATCACAGACTTCCTCCTTCCTTTAATCGCCGGCATTTTCTGGTATTTCCTTTATGGTGCCGTAAAATACCACTCTGCCTAAGCAGTGCCTAATTTCTCTACTCACAGCTCACAGCTATTTTCAAACTGCTTAGGTGGACAGTAAACTGGGCTGAAGGTCGGGTGCTCACCCCAACCCGGGCTTCGAACTGGTAAGATGTATTGCTGCTGGTGATTAACCAGCTGTGCTAAAGCCCAGATTTGTGTTGGACTTACACAAATCCTCTGTAGAAAACAGGCATCAGGGAAGGGAAATGTTGAAATACATCTGAATGTTGCAAAGATCCAGCTGCCCAGTCATTCCATGCATCCAACTTCCAGAATGTCAGCTTTTTACAGGGGATTTTTTTTCTAAGTCCAGCAGCAGAACCCAGATTTCTTCCCTCTTCCTTTCCCCTCGTAAAATTTCAGACTGTGGTGGAGTGCCAGCTCAACGAGAAAAGACTCTGTGGTGGCTACATGTGTTACAAGCCCCAATGGGGACAAGGACAAAGAGTTTCATTTTTGTTTTAGTGTTTCAGGTTTCTGGAAAACCAGAATCTTTGCTGTGATAAAAACCCACCTAAGGACACCTGCCATTAGGTGTCCTCAACCCTAGTGACAGGGCTGTGTAAAGCTGTATTTGGCAAAACAGAACAGACATCCAAAAGTCTTTATATGAACAAGGTATTAAATCCTACAGCTTGGTCCCAACTACAGGGTACCAATGAATATTATTGTTATTATTATTATATTATTATTATTATTATTATTATTATTATTATTATAAATGCTTAAATGTTTAAATAAATAAATAAATATTGCTGAATGGTGGGTTATTATATAAGTGGATCCCACTCATTTTAGTTAAGACTCAAACCATACACCCCACATCTTTCATTGCCCTTCTCCCCCAACTACAAGGACAGATCTTGCTCCACAGTGAGAAATCCCACTCCTAAACCTCTCAAGGTCCCTGCTACTTCTGTGTTTGCTCAGGCATCTCCTATCTACAGACACAAACTGAGCCTCACATGATTTAAGATGCAAAATCCCCACCACCCCATCCTATGTACCTGGAGTGTTGAAGTGATGCTGAGGGCTGGGCACTCCTTCTCCAGCAGAGGTAGAGCCTGTCATCCAGAGCTCATAAGCTGCTCCAGGTTTAAGATTGAAAAGCTTATAACTCTTCTCAGTAGCACCAACTGCAGTGAGGAGATAAGAGCACAAGTTATGCAACTGGTATTCACTACCACTGTCCAAGACTCTCAGCTCCAGTTTCCCAAGAGGGATGAGTGGCAGCGGCATGGGGTTAGCATGGTAGTACACTGTGGCAGTGGAATGCTACAGCCCTTGTGTAGCTTTTATACTTAGTAAACAGTATCTATATCAAGCTGTGGATGTCAAACTAGGGCCCCTTCTACACTGTCATATAATCCAGATTATCAAAGCAGGTAATCCACATTCTCATCTTTGAACTGGATTATATGAGTCTGTACCGCCATATAACTCAGTTCAAAGCAGATAATTTTGGATATTATATAGCAGCAAATAAGGTACCTAGATTGTAATTTGAGCCTTTCATCTTTATGGTGGAGGTGCTGCGGAATGAAGTTTGTTATCCTCCAGTTGATGTTGATTGAAAATCCAACACCCCAAAGGAGGAATTTGGGATGAGGTGACTAATAGTCCAATAACATCTGCCTTGGACAGCGAGAAGATCCAACCAGTCCATACTTCAAGAAATAAAGCCCTGACTGCTCACTGGAGGGAAGGATAGCAGAGGCCAAGATGAAGTACTTTGGCCACATCATGAGAAGAAAGGAAAGCTTAGAGAAGACAATGATGCTGGGGAAAATGGAAGGAAAAAGGAAGAGGGGACGACCAAGGGCAAGATGGATGGATGGCATCCTTGAAGTGACTGGATTGACCTTGAAGGAGCTGGGGGTGGTGATGGCCGACAGGGAGCTCTGGTGTGGACTGGTTCATGAAGTCATGAAGAGTCGGAAATGACTGAACGAATGAACAACAACATCTGAAAACCAATCCACATTGTCAGATAAAATCCAGATTATCTACTTTGAACTTGATTATATGGCAGTGTAAACTCATATGTTGTTTTTGTTGTTTATTCGTTCAGTCACGTCCAAATCTTTGTGACTTCATGGACCAGCCCAGCCAGCTGTTGCCACCCCCCAGCTCCTTCGAGGTTAAGCCAGCCATTTCAAGGATACCATCCATTCATCTTGCCCTTGGTCGCCCCCTCTTCCTTTTTCCTTCCATTTTCCCCAGCAACATTGTCTTCTCCAAGCTTTCCTGACTTCTCATGATGTAGCCAAAGTACTTCATGTTTGCTTCTAATATCCTTCCCTCCAATGAGCAGTTGGGCTTTATTTCCTGGAGTATAGACTGGTTTGATCTTCTTGTGGTCCAAGGAAACTCTTGGAATTTTCCTCCAACACCACAGTTCAAAAGCGGGGTGCTTTGAATGCAATATTCCTGCTTCTTGGCACAGGGTTGGACTGGATGGCCCATGAGGTCTCTTCCAACTCTATGATTCTATGAATATGTGAGAGGAAGCCACAGGGAGGAGGGAGCAAGCTTGTTTTCTGCTCCCCTGGAGACTAGGACGCGGAACAATGGCTTCAAACTACAAGAAAGGAGATTCCATCTGAACATGAGGAAGAACTTCCTGACTGTGAGAGCCGTTCAGCAGTGGAACTCTCTGCCCCGGAGTGTGGTGGAGGCTCCTTGTTTGGAAGCTTTTAAACAGAGGCTGGATGGCCATCTGTCAGTGGTGATTTGAATGCAATATTCCTGCTTCTTGGCAGGGGGTTGGACTGGATGGCCCATGAGGTCTCTTTCAACTCTTTGATTCTATGATTCTATGATTCGATTCCTTTGCTCAACCTTCCCTATGGTCCAGTTCTCACATCCATAGGTTACTACAGGGAATATCATTGCTTTAAATATGTGGATCTTCATTGGTAGACTCATATAATCTACTTCAAATCAGATAATGTGGATAATTTGGATTATAGGGCAGTGTAGAGGCCCCAGTTTATCCACCACTGCCTTATGATAATTCACAAGGGGATCAGGTTTGCATCATATCAACTCCACCTCTAACATACATACATTTCCTGCCTAGCTCACACAGATTTGGGCTGATTTGGCCTTCATGAGTGAAGTGCTGCCCCATTTCCAAGTGGAAAAGAAAACTCCACTTCTGACTCTGATCACTGCTAGGAAGAAATGCCCACTTCCCTGTGCATGGAGAGATATGTAGAAGTTGCTCTGCCTTTTTCTCTCAGCATGGAGAAGTCAACTGGTGGGGAACTGAGAAAGAAGAGCTACCCCTTGACATCACTTGGCCTCTAGCGCAACGGTTCTCAACCTGTGGGTCCCCAGGTGTTCTGTCCTACAACTCCCAGAAATCCCAGCCAGCTTGCCAGCTGTTAGGATTTCTGGGAGTTGAAGGCCAAAACATCTGGGGACCCAGAGGTTGAAAACCATTGCTCTAGTGAGTGATCTAGCAAGCTATCTAGCTTCAGAGAGGAGGACAATTCCCTACTTCTGATGAAAGCAGCTATAAGAAAGGGATCAATGGAGGCCACTCTTGAGGGGGCTTGGACGTAGTTCGTTCCTTCACCCATCTTCCAGTTAATTGCCATTTGGACTTGGGGAGGGAGGTGCCACTCACTGGACATGCGAATGACGTTTCCAGAAGAGGAATGCTTCAGGTAGAGTGTGTAGTGGGTGATATTTCCATTGCGACTTTCCAAAGGAATTTCCTCCCAGAAGATGTGAGAGGCTGTTGAAGTAATGCTTCTGTCCCGCAGTGCCTGAGGACTAGCTGATGGTGCTAGAAAACGGGAGGAGGAGGAAGAGGAAGAAGAATGAGAGACTGTGATATAAAGAAAGTAGAATATATTTTTTATTTCTAGGTCATGTAATAAAACTTGGGGAAATCCTTTTGGGGGAATTATTGAAGTCATGCTGGGAGTTATATTAAAATTATATTAAAGTTATATTAAAATTAAAATTCCCAGGCTCTGAGTACAAATGAACAGTCTTCTGTTTTGTGAGATATACAATCAGAATTACGCATAACTTTTTGAATACTACAAGAGTTAGTTGGGAATGATTATTCATTTATTTAGGATAAAATGTCAAATAAGGCCAAAGACCTACTGTATATAATGTGTATTGTTAACTTAAATTAAACATAAGAGAAAACAGCACATTGTTACTTTACAGATTTCATTATCAGAAAATGGAAACCTGCCTCATAGGAAACCTGCTACAAAACAGGAGCTTTTTTGTTGAGTTCCAGGGCCAGAGAAGCAGATGGCGGAAACAGAAGAACGGCCTGCCTCAGGGAGCGTGCTTGCGCCATCCATGTTCAACATCTACACAAATGACCAGCCACTGCCAGAAGGGACAGAGAGTTTCATCTATGCTGATGATCGTGCCATTACTGCTCAAGCAGGGAGCTTTGAGATGGTTGAACAGAAGCTCTCCGAAGCTCTAGGTGCCCTTACTGCCTACTACAGGGAAAACCAACTGATCCCTAATCCACCTAAAACACAGACATGTGCTTTTCACCTTAAGAACAGACAAGCATCCCGAGCTCTGAGGATCACCTGGGAAGGAATCCCACTGGAGCATTGCAGCGCACCCAAATACCTGGGAGTCACTCTGGACTGTGCCCTGACCTACAAGAAGCACTGCCTGAATATCAAGCAAAAAGTGGGTGCTAGAAACAATATCATACGAAAGCTGACTGGCACAACCTGGGGATCACAACCAGACACAGTGAAGACATCTGCCCTTGCGCTATGCTACTCTGCTGCTGAGTATGCATGCCCATTGTGGAACACATCTCACCACACTAAAACAGTGGATGTGGCTCTTAATGAGACATGCGCATTATCACGGGTGTCTGCGCCCTACACCACTGGAGAAATTACACTGTTTAGCCGGTATTGCACCACCTGACATCTGCCAGGAAGTAGCAGCCAATAGTGAAAGGACCAAGGCAGTGACATCTCCAGCTCATCCCTTGTTTGGGTATCAGCCAGCACGTCAACGACTTAAATCAATAAATAGTTTTCTAAGATCTACACTCGCTGGAACACCCCAGCAAGCGAAAGTCCAAAAGTGGCAGGCTCAAACTCAGAACCTCAATTAATGGCTGATACCAAATGAGAGACTCCCCCTGGGGCACACAGAAAACTGGACGACTTGGAAGGCGCTGGACAGACTGCGCTCTGGCACCACGAGATGCAGAGCCAATCTTAAGAAATGAGGCTACAAAGTGGAATCCACGACATGCGAGTGTGGAGAGGAGCAAACCACTGACCACCTGCTGCAATGCAACCTGAGCCCTGCTACATGCACAATGGAGGACCTTCTTGTGGCAACACCAGAGGCACTCCAAGTGGCCAGATATTGGTCAAAGAACATTTAATCAACTATCAAGCTTGCAAACGTTGTGTTTTGTCTGTTTGTTCATTTGTTTTGTTAAAAATGTAGTACAACTGTCTGGTTGCTCCTGACATGATAAATAAAAACAATTACAAAAAAGTAGAGATGGCTTTCAGTTTAAATAACTGTCAGGAACTAGACAAAGAGATGGAAAATAATACTGCTATTAGCCCTTATTAGTCGTGAGGGCTATATGTGCTATTTCTCCATTCAGAGACATATATTTCTGTGACATCATGGTAAAATTCCATTGACAGTTCCAGCATCCCTTCTTCTCCTTGAGTTTACCTTCTTCCTTGAAGTATGCTCGGACAGGAACCGAGGTGCTGCTCCCCTCAGTATACAAAGCATAAACATGCACGAGATAAGGTATTTTTGGTCTAAAGTCACCTGAAATGGGAAGTAACAAAATATTATCATTAAGCAACTGGAATATGTACACCCATGACCCGCATACTATGGGCAAATCCAAGGCAACATCTGGGCCATGTTATCCTCAGAATTCGGATGTTATTTGGTGTTTGCTACCAACATTCCTTCACATGTTATATGTAAACGGATAAGAAGCCTGCATGCCATGTTTGAAGGATATAAAAGAAAGTGAGGCTTTGGTGCCTTGAGCGTAGAGTGGTCAAAATATGCCCCACATTTTTTTTCCGCTGATGTTGTTGTGGACGATACTGATAATAATAATATAGATATGATGATTATTATTTATCTGCCCTATTGGAGCTGCTTGAAATGTGTAATATAGATTTCAAAGTATGTATGTATGTTTAAAATGCAATGCTATGTGCCAAGTGTATTCCTGTGTGGAAAGAGTCAACTGTAGGAATGGCATTCCTAGAGAGGTCATAAATCAAAGTGTATGGAGTAGTGGACACAACATCGTGCGTGGTATGTCATACTCTAGAATGTAGGAGGTGTGGACTAGTACTGATAACAGCGTGTTCGAGTGTTCGCGATGTGGCTACCGGATGGAGAGGAAGCAGTTTTATGATGTGCTAAGTGCTAATTAGCTTCTGATGTTTATAGCTGTAAATAAAGTAGTTTATAGCCTAAAGTGGCTGTGATAGATTGTGTTTCCTGCCTTGCTGTGCGGCCGATGGAACTGACATGCCCCTCCTCAAGGCTTGAGGCAGGGTACAACATAGTTAAAACATGAGGGTAAGTCAAAAAGTAATGCCTCCATCACTCTAACTTTTATTTCTTTCACAGCAACTGGACAATCTATGCATGATATGATAGAGGCAACCTTACTCTACTGGTAATTAGAACAATGAATCTGAAGCTAAAAGAAAGAGTCGTCATTGAATTTCTGGCAAAAGAAGGTTGTGTACCTAAGAAAATCCATAATTGCTTGAGGAATGTTTATGATTCAGCCTCTCCTGACTTTTACTTCTTTGGACCTATGAAAGATGGCCTATGTGGTTTCAGATTCAATGACTTGAATTATGTTAAAACAGCTTTAAAACCATGGGTCACTAAGAAACCCCCCAATTTTTTCCAAAATGGTTTTGATGCCTGGGTTAAACAATGGCGCAAATGTTTACAAATTGATGGTGACTATGTTGAATGATAGTTTTGCATAGAAGACAGCTCAGGCTATGATCTGTAGCAACTTCTGCTGTTATAGATTCATTCATAATATTTTTATGGCACAGGAGGCAATACTTTTTGACCTCTCCTCGCACCTTCTCTCGCTCCCACCTGCATCGCAAGTGCGACTTGTGGGGACGAGAGAGAGGGCCTTCTCTGTAGTGCCCCCCCCCCCCGGCTCTGGAATTCACTTCCCAGAGATATTAGGCAAGCCCTCAAACTGGCAATCTTCAAGAGGAACCTGAAAACCTGGTTATTCCAAAGTGCCTTCAATTACTGAATGTAAGACACTCCCTGACCAAACTTTGCATAAAATGACCTCAGAAGCACTTTATTTTGTGATTCATGCAATTAAATCCTTCCTCATCCCCAGATCCCTCTTCCTGACAATTTTACATTGCCCTATCTCCCGGTGTTTTAAAATTTTATCTTTGAATTTGGCCCTGCCCGGTGTAATTCCTTTGTGTTTTAATGTCTGATGTTATATCGCTGTGTTTTCTATTATATTGGTTTTGCATTTTATGTATTTTATTTTCTGGTTTTGTGTAATATTGTGTTTATTGTACTGTGGCTTCATGTAAGCCACCCCAAGTCCCCCTGGGGGAGATGGAGCAGGGTATAAATAAAGTATTATTATTATTATTATTATTATTATTATTATTAATTAATTATTATAGATAAAAAACATAAGACCATTACAACACATATATTAAAAGATACAAACCTAAAATTAAAATGACATTAAAATGATTCATGCCAATAAAATCAAAGAATCAAAGAGTTGGAAGAGACTTCATGAGCCATCCAGTCCAACCCCCTGCCAAGAAGCAGGAATATTGCAGTCAAAAAAACCAAGATTATGGCAACAAGAATGATTGACAACTGGAAAATAGAGGGAGAAACCGTGGAGGCCGTGACAGACTTTGTATTTCTAGGTGCAAAGATTACTGCAGATGCAGACTGTGGCCAGAAATCAGAAGACGCTTACTTCTTGGGAGGAGAGCAATGTCCAATCTCGATAAAATAGTAAAGAGTAGAGACATCAGACTGGCAACAAAGATCCGCCTAGTCAAAGCCATGGTATTCCCTGTAGTCACCTACGGATGTGAGAGCTGGACCTTAGGGAAGGCTGAGCGAAGGAAGATCGATGCTTTTGAGCGGTGGTGTTGGAGGAAAGTTCTGAGAGTGCCTTGGACTGCGAGAAGATCCAACCAGTCCATCCTCCAGGAAATAAAGCCCGACTGCCCACTGGAGGGAAAGATACTAGAGACAAAGTTGAAGTACTTTGGCCACATCATGAGGAGACAGGAAAGCCTAGAGAAGACAATTATGCTGGGGAAAGTGGAAGGCAAAAGGAAGAGGGGCCGACCAAGGGCAAGATGGATGGATGGCATCCTTGAAGTGACTGGACTGACCTTGAGGGAGCTGGGGGTGGTAACGGCCGACAGGGAGCTCTGGCGTAGGCTGGTCCATGAGGTCACGAAGAGTCGGAGACGACTGAACGAATGAACAACAACAACATCATATCTCCTCTCAGCCTTCTCTTCTTCAGGCTAAACATGCCCAGCTCCTTAAGCCGCTCCTCATAGGGCTTGTTCTCCAGACCCTTGATCATTTTAGTCGCCCTCCTCTGGACACATTCCAGCTTGTCAATATCTCTCCTCAATTGTGGTGCCCAGAATTGGACACAATATTCCAGGTGTGGTCTAAACTAGGCAGAATAAAGGGGTAGCATGTAAGTCATGAAGTTTTTTCCCCAGGCCTTGAGTAGGTACTGAGGGTGAAAGCATAATACACAGGCTCACCTGCCTATTTTAGGTATGTCACTTGTAGTTTTATTTTAGGTAAGCTGGCATGTCTTACTTCCATCCCCATTAAAAGAAGAGGAAGCCTAATACTTTCTCTTCCTCCTTCAAAAATTGCCGACACTGGCATTTTAAGGAACACCCCTATTGATACCAGTGGAAACTTCCTTTTTCTGGAAACAGCAGCTTCAGCATGGTTATTTTTACTTTACAGAAACACTGTGCATCATTGTATTAACTGCACTCATATGTTTGACTTCACATCTAGTTTGGCCCCTGAATTCTTCTCACCTTTCAGCATGGCACTATTATTTCTGCCAGGCCTGTGGATCCAGTTTATTGGGACGTCCTTGCTAAGAAGCTCTTCTCTCCACTCCACGACATACTCCTCAGGCGGAACCCACTGGGGGCTCGTGCTGGGCTCCCACGTCACTTTGAGACCCAGGCGTGGTACTGCCACCACCTGGACATTCTCAGGAATGGGGTGCTCTAGAAAATGGTAAAAATGGACATAGATGCCTTTGAGGTTTAGGTTATCATCCACAGTAGGTTGCAATCCATTCCTGTCAAGGATCCTTTGGAGGCAATGCCAAATGGAGGTGCATGTCCCTTGATCTGCATTGAGGTCACACTGGTTGGTGGGTCGGAAAGTCTTATAGGACTCATCCCTCATTAACAAATTATCTTAAATAAATAAAAATATGTTTGTTTGTGGGATTAACATAACTCAAAAACCACTGGGGGAATTGACACCAAATTTGGACACAAAACACTTAACAACCCAGTGTATGTTCTTCACTCATAAAAACACTGAAAAACACAGCAGAAGGGACTTAAAAAGCCCCAAAAAGGTAAATGACAATACAGAAAAAAGGGAAGAAAGAGGGAGGGAAAGAAAGAAGGAAAGGGAGAAGGAAGCATGGAAGCAAAGAGAGAGAGAAGGAAGGAAAGGGGTAGAGAAGGAAGAAAGGAGAGAAAGAGGGAGGGAAAGAAAAAGGGAAAGGAAGGAAAGTTAGAGAAGGAAAGAAGGAGAGAAGGAAAAAAGGAAAGAAGGAGAAAAGGAAAGAAGGAGAGAAGGAAAGAAAAAAGGGAAAGAAGGAGGAAAGTGGGAGCGAAGGAAGGGGGGAAGATGTAGAGAAAGAGAGAGGGAAGGAAAGAGAGAAGGAAGAAAAGAGACAGCAGAAGAGAAAGAAAAAGGGGGAAGGAAGGATAGAGAAAGAAGGAAGAAGAGAAGAAAAGACAGGAAGGAAGGAAAGAGGGAGTGAAGGAATGAGGGAAAAAGGGAAGGTTAGCCACAGCAAAGAGTGGCGGGTACAGCTAGTATATAAAAAATGTAATGATCGTTTGTGGGATTAACATAACTCAAAAACCACTGAATGAATTGACACCAAATATGGACACAAGACATCTCTCAGCCCAACAAGTGACCATCACTCATAAAAACCCTGAAAAACACATCAGAAGAGACTTAAAAACTCTACTACTCATTTCCACCAAACTCCAAGGAAGCTCCCCAGACCCTGAACCAGTGTCTGACAGCTGTGATGGACTGGATGAGGGCTAACAGGGTGAAGCTTAATCCAGACAAGGCAGAGGTCCTCCTGGTGGGGCCGACCATGGTATTGGGTGGCAACCTGTGCTCGACGGGGTTACACTCCTCCTGAGGGCGCAGGTCCATAGCTTGGGGGTCCTCCTGGACTCAATGCTGTCACTTGATGCTCAGGTGTCGGCGGTGACTGGGAGGGCCTTTGCACAACTCACTCATGTGCCAGCTGTAACCTCGTGAAGTCTGACTTGGCCAGCGTGGTACATCCAGATAGGACTATTGCAGTGCGCTCTACGTGGGGCTGCCCTTGAAGACAGCCCAGAAGCTCCAACTGGCACAATGGGCAGCAGCCAGGCTCCTTACTGGAGCAAACTATAGGGAGCATACAACGCCCCTTTTACAACGCCCCTTTGCCGAGCCAAATTCATGGTGCAGCTTATGACCTATAAAGCCCTAAACGGTTCAGGCCCCACCTATCTTTACGATCACATCCCCCTCTATGAACGGGTGCAGCCTTTAAGTTCTTCTGGGGAGGCCCTGCTTTCACTCCCACCACCGTCACAAGCATGGTTGGTGGGAACGAGAGAAAGGGCCTTCTCGGTGGTGGCCCCCTGCCTCTGGAACACCCTTCCTAGAGAAATAAGACAGGCCCCATCCCTCCCCTCCTTTCATAAGAGCCTGAAGACCTGGTGGTGTAAACAAACCTTTGAGAATGACTAGTTCTAGCTTAGCCCCAGATACTGTTGAAATTGGCCATATCTTTTTCTACCAGTTACCCAGGTTACTTTCTTCTATTAGGCCCTGGAAATGTACAGCCATAGACTCTACCTAATTTCTCGGGCCCTCTAAAACTGCATTAGCCCCGGCCCGGCCTTTTAAATTACCTTGAACAGGCAGGATTATTTTAAATATATATGTTTACAAAATCCATTAGTATACATAGGGATCCCCCCTAGTATGTATCCTATTTCAAACAACATGAAACTGAATGGTTGAGTGCCTATTGTACATTCGGCATGTATGCAACTATATGCATTTTTTTGTGTCAGGAGCGACTTGAGAAACTGCAAGTCACTTCTGGTGTCAGAGACTTGCCCAGGGGATGTCCAGATGCTTTACCATCCTTTGGGAGGCTTCTCTCATGTCCCCGCATGGGAAGCTGGAGCTGACTTACAAGAGATCACCTTGCTCCCTAGATTCAAACCGCCAACCTTTTGGTCAGCAGTCCTGCCAACACAAGGGTTTAACCCATTGTGCCACCGGGGCCTCTGACTATATGCATGATGGGTGGGGAAAGGGAAACAGGAAGTAAGCTGGCTTGTGAGGAGACGGGAACTGGGGAAGAATATAAACAGGTGCACCAACACTTTTCCTTTACCTTGATTCAGATCAGCAAATGAAGGGAGGGAAGAAATGGGCCCTAAGAGAAAAAGACAGCACCCAGTCTCTAGCAGGAAATACCGCCAACTGTTTCCCACTGAAGTATCAACCCTTGCCTGTTTGCTCCAAGCTAAGATTGGCTGGCAGTGTCTTCGAAATGGAATTGCGTGCTGATACCCAAGCATACTCAGTTGTGGGAGGGAGAGTAGCATTGCAGCAATGGCACACCATCTTGGAGACCCTTTTGCTAGCATCCCGGTAGGTGACTTCGTAGTCAAGGATGTCTCCCCGTGCTACTTCAGGATCCAGTGCCTGAAAAAGAGATGTCAAGAAGCAAATTAAGAATTAAAAGAAAACTAACCCTGAAGTGATGCCACTGGCAACCACACATGCTTGACCCTGCTAAGTGCAACAACCACTGTAAATTAGAGTGGCTAAATTGATTTGTTCTGTGCCCTTTACAAGCTGCATGACATGACAACAAATGGGAGAGGGCAGGGCTTCTCTTGGCAAGGAAAGCCACAATAACGGCATTTGCATCTGCTTGTCATGCGGCCACTAAAGACACCAAAGCTGGCAAGTGAAAGATAAACATGATACAATCTTCATTAAAGCAGCTGCACCTTAAACAGTAGCACTGGGCTTTTTAAAAAGCCTTTTCACTAACATCAGCAAGATACAAGCTCGAGCTAGGATTTGAAATGATTGCCATCCTCTATTAGTCCCTTCTCTCAGCTCCAAATATGACTACACACCTCTGAAGGAAAAAGACCCTAACTCAACAGGACTTAAGTGGAGTAGTGGTAAAATTCAGCAGTGTGAAAGCTCAGATGCCCATTGTTACCATATCCAACAACAGTCTAAAATGCAGGCAAGTGTGCTGATTTACATAATCAACATTTTCTACCAAAGTTCATTTGAACTATGGAAAAGTCTTTGGTAAAGTTAAGATCTAGAGCAGGGGTCCTCAAACTAAGGCCCGGGGGTTGGATACGGCCCTCCAAGGTCATTTACCCGGCCCTCGCTCTGGGTCAACCTAAGTCTGAAATGACTTGAAGGCACACAACAACAACAACAACAACAACAACAACAATCCTATTTCATCAGCCAAAAGCAGGCCCACACTTCCCACTGAAATACTAATATTTTATTTATTTATTTAAATAAAATAAATTTTAATTATTGTATTGTTTTTTAAGTGGTTTTTTTTTTTTTTTGCACTACAAATAAGATATGTGCAGTGTACATAGGAATTCATTCATGTTTTTTCAAATTATAATCTGGCCCTCCAACAGTTTGGGGGACTATGACCTGGCCCTCTGTTTAAAAATTTGAGGACCCCTGATCTAGAGAGCCAGTATGGTGTAGTGCAGTGGTTCCCAACCTTTGGTCCTATAGGAGTTTTGGACTTCCGCTCCCACAGCTGGTAAGATGGCTGAGATTTCTGGGCATTGAAGTCCAAAACAGCTGGAAGACCAAAGATTGGGAACCACTGGTATAGTGGTTTGAATGTTGGACTAGGACTCAGGGAGACCAGGGTTTGAATCCCCACTAGGCCACTGAAACTGGGTGACAGTGGGCAAGTCATGCTCTCTCAGCCTCAGAGGAAGACAAAAGCAAATCCCTTTTGAACACATTTTGTCACAAAAACCCTGTGATAGGTTTGCCTAGGGTCACCTTAAGGCATACAACACCCCAAAAAGTTGTGTGAGACCAAACCAGTCTAAGATCCTTTCTCAGAGTTCACAACAATATACAGTCAATCTCCAAGTTACAAACATCCAACTTACAAATCTATATAAATAAAAATGTAATGTTCGTTTGCGGGATTAATAGAACTCAAAAACCACTGGACGAATTGACACCAAATTTGGACACAAGACACCTAACAACCCAATGTATGTCCTTCACTCAAAAAAAATTGATTTTGTCATTTGGGAGTTGTAATTGCTGGGATTTATAGTTCACCTACAATCAAAGAACATTCTGAACCCCACCAACGATGGAATTGAACCAAACTGGGCATACAGTTCTCCCATGGCCAACAGAAAATATGGGAAGGGTTTGGTGGGCAGTGTCCTTTTGCTTTGGAGTTGTAGCTCACCTACATTCAGAGATCACTGTGGACTCAAACAATGATGGATCTGGACCAAACTCTACAAGAATACTCAATACGCCCAAATGAGAACACTGGTGGAGTTTGGGAAAAATAGAATCTTGACATTTGGGAGTTGTAGTTGCTGGGATTTATAGTTCACCTACAATCACAGAGCATTCTGTGAACCCCACCAATGATAGGATTGTGCCAAACGTCCCACACAGAACCCCCATGTGGGCCACAGCAACGCGTGGCAGGGAACGGCCAGTGACTCATAATTATGAACGGGGGTGGGACCACAGGAAGTGAGAGAACTCTACCCCTAGGAAGGGAAATTCACTCCTGGAAGAGTTATCATGGGAAAAACCTTTCTCACCAATCGTTTCCACAACAAGTCAAACTTTTCAAAATCTAATCGTCACAGAGACAGAAGGTGAGGTGAAATCTTCTGAACAAGGCCAGAGACAGCAAAACAAATAGTACCGGGGTGTTAACCATTCTCTATGCTATCTGAACCTAATATGTGTATGTATGTATGTGTAGATATATATGTATGTATTATGTTTGTAAAGGGAAAAGCTTTCCCCTGACATTAAGTGTAGTCATGTCTGACTCTGGGGGTTGGTGCTCATCTCCATTTCTAAGCCAATGAGCCAGCATTGTCCATTGTCCAAGGTCATGTGGCTGGCATGACTGCATGGAACCCCGCTACCTTCCTGGCATGGAAGTACCTATTGATCTACTCACATTTGCATGTTTTCGAATTTAATGTTTTCGAATTACTAGGTTGGCAGAAGCTGGGGCTAACAACGGGAGCTCACCTCAATCCCTGCATTTGAACCGCCAACCTTTCAGTCAGCAAGTTCCGCAGGTCAGTGGCATGTGTGTATACTATACTTATATATATATGGAGTTACACTTAAAAACGTACCTGTTCCAACTTACAAACAAATTCAACTTTAAAAACCTACAGAACCTATCTTGTTCATAACTTGGAGATGGTCTTTACATACTTTGGGTGACCATGTTGTCTATACAGCAAAAAACAAAATCCAAACTCCACAAAAGAGAAATGCGGGACAACCAAAATTCACACAAATACATAATGCAAGCTTTCACATTTGGAAACCCATTTTATTTGGTGAGTGGTAGCATATGTATTACAAATACTTTTGGCATTGCAGTAAACTCTTTTTCATTTTACACAAGGCCAAGTGGAAATTTTCCAGCTTTTCTCACATTCCATTGTTTTCCTCTGCAAACCAATTCAGAACTGGTTCAAAACATTGTGCTACCTGAAGCAGGGGAGCAAATCCCTAGCCTTCTAAGTCAAAATGCATAACAGTCACAGGCAGTAAAAAAAATGGTACGTGAAGGAGAAAAAATGTCAGAAGCATCCCCATTGTAAAAATGTAAGAGTAGGTAGTTAAGCAACTAGCAATTTGCTACCATTTTGGGAAACCCCTGAAACTTGAGATAGTTGACTTGCCCTGTGCAATAGTAGTCTTGGCACTGGTGGGGAGAAAAATAGTTTTGGAGACAAAAGTGGCAGATTATGGTCCCCATATCAGTGAGGCAATGAATCTAGTCCAGGTTTCCATCCAGTCTTTAAAGGGGCTCTCCAAAATGCTGATGCCTAGCCCCAAACAGATTCAACACCCTGGAAAGCTCTTTTCAGGCTACCTACAATCTGAGAAGTTTCACTGCTCCACTAACATGGAAGCCATAAGTCATTGCTGCAGAAAAATCCTGACTGGAATGTGCTGTTTGGTACTGGAAACAAAATGCCTCCCTTATATATCTTTACATAACACTATTAAAATATTTATCAAATGTTAATAACTGTATAATAAGCTGACTTATATTGGCTCCACCCAGCAACTCACAACCATAACATTATGTAACAAAATTTGAAAAAAAAATCTGTTCCTGGTTTGAAAGTGTTATTTCCTGTTTAATTGTGCGCTATTTACTTTCAAAGTGGTTGACATGCTTCAGAAACTTAGTTTCAGTGGCTGAGATAGACTATGTTGAATTTGTTGAGAAGCTACGAGCTATTCATCAAACAACTATAGCAAAATGTGCTGCAGGATGTCCCACAAAAACAACATTTTTGCAGTTATTTCTTTATTTATTATGTTTACAAGCTGTCCCCTGCTACGCCTTGCTGTGGCCCACTGTGGTGGTCATGGGGGTTCTGTGTGGGAGGTTTGGCCCACTTCTATTGGTGTTGGGGTTCGGAATGCTCTTTGTAGGTGAACTATAAATCCCAGGAACTACAACTCCCAAATGTCAAGATTCTATTTTCCCCAAACTCCAACAGTGTTCACATTTGAGCATACTGAGTATTCGTGTAGAGTTTGGTCAAGATCCATCATTGTTTGAGTCCACAGTACTCTCTGGATGTAGGTGAACTACAACTCCAAAACCAAAGGACACTGCCAAACCCTTCCAGTATTTTCTGTTGGTCATGGGAGAACTGTGTACCAATTTTGGTTCAATTCCATTGTTGGTGGGGTTCAGAATGCTCTTTGATTATAGATGAACTATAAATCCCAGCAACTACAACTCCCAAATGACAAACTCAATTTTTTTGAGTGGAGAACATACATTGGGTTGTTAGGGGTATCGTGTCCAAATTTGGTGCCAATTGCCCCAGTGGTTTTTGAGTTCTGTGAATACCACAAACGAACATTACATTTTTATTTATATAGATTTATATCCCGCTTTATCTCACCGTACAGAGATTCAAAGCGGCTCACAGCTAAAAAGAATTCAATACAACTTAAAATATACAAATATTAAACAACATGAATATAAAACAATCCAGGTCAAAACCATGAAAGCACATAACATCACATCACAAAACGTCTTCCTTATTTTTATGCTAGAACCAATTAGGAAATGACATTTATAACCTGGGAACCAAAAGTATGTTACATAGTGTAATAAAAGAAGAGCAATGTGCCAACCAAAAGGGAAGTAACACTGGTGACCAGCTGTCTCTATTCTCTGCCAGCACAGCAACTTCTCTTTGTTGCTTGGATCGGCATATCTGCTAACAGTTCTCTCTTTATGTTAACCCTCTTGGTTCAAACAAGCTATGCACACCAAAGCGGGACACAAGAGGGTTTCCATTACCAAGGTATAGTTTTTTTTTCCTTGCACAACAGCCACAATTGTATTCACAGAGCATAGTACCAAGTTCCCATTGATAATTTAGTAAGGGAGAGCTTGGAAATGTAGTTGTGTGTGTGTTTGAGCTCTGATGCCTCTCCAGCCAGAAGGCAATGAATATGCTGACAGAGGATTCTGGGAGTTGCACTCCAAAAGAAGAACCTTTTTAAACTCTTGAACAACTGGGTTGTTGTAGGTTTTTTCGGGCTATATGGCCATGGTCTAGAGGAATTCTCTCCTGACGTTTCGCCTGCATCTATGGCAAGCATCCTCAGAGGTAGTGAGGTCTGTTGGAACTAGGAAAAGGGGTTTTTATATATCTGTGGAATGACCAGGGTGGGACAAAGGACTCTTGTCTGCTGGAGCTAGGTGTGAATGTTTCAAATGACCACTTTGATTAGCATATAATTGCTAATCTGGCTACTAGTATTAAAAAAAACTCTAAAATTACAATAGAACAACAACAAAGAGGAAATAAACAAGGACATTTATTTATTTATTTATTTCAAATATTTCTACCCCGCCCTTCTCACCCCGAGGGAGACTCAGAGCGGCCTTACAAAGGCACAATTCGATGCCGGCATCAATACAGCAATACAACAATAAAATAAAACAATATAGCAGCAATCAAACAATTAAAAACAATTAAACAGTCGGTTCTCAGTTCTACAACACGTCAATAAACCAGTTTAACACTCAGCGTTCGCTGTCTCATAGTCTATAGTTTCAATTTCACATTGTCAGTCCTGTCAATTCTAGTCCATTTTCCTTAACTGCCAGATTGCCTGAAGGCCTGGTCCCATAACCATGTTTTTAATTTCCTTCTAAAGGAGAGGAGGGATGTTGATGATCTAATTTCCCCAGGGAGCAAGTTCCACAGGTGAGGGGCCACCACCGAGAAGGCCCTGCTCCTCATCCCCACCAGCCTCACTTGTGATAGAGGTGGGGTCGAGAGCAGGGCCTCCCCAGATGATCTCAAATTCCGAGGTACGTCTAATCAACTCTCAACAAAAGTTTGCTCCAGGCACTGTCACGCAATTATATGCTAATCAAGGTGGTCAGTTGAAACATTCACACCTAGCTCCAGCAGACAAGAGTCCTTTGTCCCACCCTGGTCATTCCACAGATATATAAACCCTTTTTCCTACTTCCAACAGACCTCACTACCTCTGAGGATGCTTGCCATAGATGCAGGTGAAACGTCAGGAGAGAATGCCTCTAGACCATGGCCATATAGCCCGAAAAAAACCTACAACAACCCAGTGATCCCGGCCATGAAAGCCTTTGACCATACATCTTGAACAACTGCTAACAATTATCCAACCAACAAGGCCACTGGTTTTTGAAGCTATGGTTCTTGAAGTCCTGTGTCCTAAAAAAAACCCATGCTTCTTATAAGCCATTCTGAGAGAGATAATGTTCCTTTCAATATTGCTGTAGATTATTCTCTCATTCACGTTCTGAGCCAAACCCGAAGGTATTAGATTGACTTGTTCCACTGCCATCTTACCTTCCATAGTAGAAGAAAACTTGATTTCCCATTTTTAGAAACGCCAACTTCCCGCCAGACATCTACCTGACCTAATGGAGCTAAAGGTAACAGAAAAATATTCAGGGATTAGTGTGAACTAAGAAATGATAAGAACTGTCCCCAAAGAATATATATGCAAGAAAAATAGGAATTAGCCTCAGACACAATCTGTTTATTCCACCATCATACAAGAAATATAATGGTGGACTCTCAAGAGAAGGGTTTGATTCCACCTACTGCTACTCTAAATGGATCTACTGCAGTGGTTCTCAACCTTG